GTATAGATTTTCTGTCGTTGTGTTGGACTTTTGTTTATGTATTTACAAAAGTTTTAGCAATACATTTCTAAATACTAAAAATACCTCTAGTATAATATTTTTATCAAATTTTAACATGGTAAAGTGGTAAAGCCAGGCAACAGCGTAGATATTATAGCCGCAGCACGAATGGATCTGTCTGTTATAAAAAATATACTCTAGGATAACTATGAACTACTACCAAATATATTTGGATAGGTTTTTGGGTCTATCACGCCAATCACTCTAGATTAGATAAGAGAGCGATGTCTGCTACATGCATCAAACTTGTGAAAAGGTGCTGCTGGTCTGCTCAGGGTTCGCTTCGCTGTACGCTTATAAGGTCCAAATCTTTTTTTATTATATCATAAAATTTACTTCAGTTACCGATGAGTCTATTGTCGTAGTCCATTCTTTAATATACAATTATATTGAAAAATGACATACAATGACAGTTGCTTCTCCAGTCAGAGGAACCCCATTCCTAAACAGTAGTAGAAAGGTTCTAAAAAATTACATTTTTGTTATTTGTTTTCTAACGTCGAAGAAATAAAGACGTTTTATTTCGATGGTTTATGGAATACTGACTTGGCTTTTCTGTTTGGATTTGAATGATTATAGCTCCTGTCTTCGTTGATTTGGTTTGGTTTTAGGATCTCGACATTTTCTGTTCGAACAAGTTTGTTATCTCTTCCTTAAGCAATTGACTTGGCATGTGCTTTGGACTAAACTGATTTTATTATTCCAAAAGTGAGTGATGTATGAACCATTGTTGTTGCGGTGCACCAGGGCTCAACAAAAATATCGGATAGCGGTCCGCATCCGGACCGGAAGAAATTTTGTGCGGACCCAGAAGAATCTAAGAATATCAATGTACATATTTGTGGGAATCTAATTTTCGTCTGTTTTAAAACACAAAAATTCAGAAGTGTTTTGCTAAAAGTTTAGGAAAAAATTAATATCACAAGTTTTCATCAACATACTAATATTTGTGAAGCAGCATTTTCAGAGATGAACTTGTCCAGAATTTAATGGCTATAGCTTACACCAACTTAATTCCAGACTTCAGATAGATTGTAGGTACAGATAAAAAAATGCTATTTTTCGCTTTAGTATTGGTTACCTATTTAATTTGTTATTTTTTAATTAAGGCGGTGTAAAATAAAATATTTTGATTTCTTTTCGTTTTAGTTATTAATAGGCATTTTAAATCTCGGTTGCCAGTTATCATCTAGCAAACGGCAACATATATATTTTTTTAAACCAACCCGTAATTAAATTAATTGGTGATACCTTCTGTACACTATTCTATCCAGTCCAGTAGCTTGAAAACATCTTACAAAGCAGTGGTGAAGAGTTCGGAGATAAAACGTCAACCTGTCTACACATCGAGGTAGGTTTCGTTTTCACCAGCTGGGTTGGTTTTACGATATACTGACAGTCAGTCTGACACCGCCGAAGGGATTGTGGCATCGACCAAATTTTACGGAATCGAAAGTTTTCTCATAGTCCACAAAAGCAAGACAAAATGGGCAGATTGTACTTTTCGACCTTCTGCATAATTAGCCGAAAGGAATTTATGGTATATAATGGTACTCACTATAGCTTTTTCGAAAACCGGCTTGTTAGGAAAGCTTGAAGTTGTCATGTTTGCCGTAATGATTCTAGCACACATAAAACAGCACATAAACGCAGTCCAGAAGTGCAAGCGGTCTATATCTTTTCAAAAGAAAACAGTCGACTTTCTTAAAAAAAATATATGATAACCACACTTGCTTCACGATGCTGAAAAGGCGTCGCCATGAAGGACGGAATATCGGTTTTATAAATGCGAACATCGAACTTCGAACTCACTACTTTTTAACTTAGTTCAACAGACGAGAAGGTTCAATATTCAATGCGAATGTTTGTTATGTGTGGTCACTGATTTCTCGGAAATGGCTGAACCGATTAAAATTAAAATTATTCTTTTTTAATTAATAGGTTGTATTTCAGATGTGGGGATATGTCGACAAAAAAATCCCATGCCTAAGAACGGAATACCTTTTTGATGAACATTTTAAGTAACTTTGTTTTTTTTTCTATCGAGAAAATTTTACGGAATCATGTTTTCGTCTAACATAGTACTTAACATTAATTCTCAACTTTACCATATATTTATTTCAAAATTAATGCTGCAATATTTTCGGCATAACGGAGGATCTTGCTCAGCCATTTGAGGTTATATTCCCCCTTAATACAGCTACCTGTTTATACGACATTCTAGTTGTTACCTTAAACTTGTGATTTTTCCTTAGACCTCTCAAAAGGATATTATAACTTAAATTATGATAAAATTAAAACCGACTTTAAAAAAAATAGTTTCCACTTTTCACATAATACAGCTTCTGAAGTCTAGAAGTCCTTTTTCGTAATTCTCCGATACTTACACTAAATATCTCCAACTCAGTCAGAACAGTTTTACTTTTTATTAAAATTGAATACACTTCTTGCTACCTTTCGGTTCGTTTCGGTATCTTTCGGTTTTATAATATGATACAAACGACTGACAAACCCACCCTTGTAATTGTGTTTAAAAAATCTGCTTTTATGTTGTATAAATTATATAAGTATATAAACTGCATGATATGCATGTAAAAGAAATGTTTTCTGAAATGTAAAATGTATTAAAACTTTATTAAAACTCATTTACAAACACCATTTTTTATTTAGTTACGAAGTCATTATGCTAAGTTAAAATCTTCAATTTTATTTTATTGCTTACATTGAACTGTTAAGCAAATGGCGCAATCTTCGGCGAATTTAGTCGTCACCACGAGTACTTTGGTCGTCACGAATAGCCTTTGAGCACAGAATAAATAATAGCTTTGAGGTTCTAGGTTCTAGCATAACACACGCCTCGTGGTCTGTGTAATGACGATACAACTAGACAACTACAAGCAACACTGCCGGTGCCACCGTGCCAGTGCCGTTGTATGCTTGTATGCACTATGCAGTAGGGTGTGTGTAGAGGAAAGTAATATATGGTTGTGAGTGACAGTGATTATCAGACGTACGAAGTACGAAGTCGGGCCGCGTCTCGCGTACGCAAAAACTGAACTGGATGTTCGTTCGTCTATACTCGTTTTGCAGAGTAGATAAACAACTGATGTTCTCGCTCACACCTCACACATTCATTATCCTCTGTTTTTGCTAGTGATACCATGTATATAATTCTTCCCAATTATTCAGTAAGTGTAATAATTATGGGCAATAGTAGTAATTATGGGATAATTTTATATTGTTTGCACTTATTCACTGATTAATTAAGAAATATAAAATATTTGTTTTTAATATAGTTATATTTAATTAGTTATATTATAAAATAACACTACAATGATAAGAGCCCAAGAGGTGGCGAATTCCAGTTGACGCTAGCATTTGTGTAAACAAGTGAAAGCTCCACAGTTCATAGAATTTTTAAATCTGAATATATTGTGATTATCTCCGAGTGTAGAGACAGATAAAATATTAAATTTAAACTCAAACTCTAAAATTTTAAAATCTGTGTGACACAAACGATCTAAACCTCTCGATCTCGATAGATCGTAATAGTGTTTTCTAGTTTAGTCTAGACACAAATTTCGACATTGTAACGTTTGAGTTTCTGCTCCAGATTGTCTCTGAATTCCAGTTTATCGCTGTGTACCTTTTGTTTTATCACTTAATGTATATATTGGATAAGTAGATTCAGCTATTACGGCCTGGCCACGGGGATCGGCAGCGCGAACGGTGAAGCGACAGGCGGGGCGATAATTCGCGCGGCGCGATTTGAGGGCCACGGGACTTCACGTTTGCCGCCGCGACCAGATAGGCCGAGAGTGAAATGTCTTTATCAAAGTTATCTCGATATTTATTAGAAAGTAATTGTTTTTTGATTCAAGACATAATATTTGGAAGAGATTGCGGAGTACATGATTTGAATAGGAATTGCGTTATAGATGGAGAATTCCACAACAAATATAATGCATCTAGAAAAAAATTTCGAGTAAATAGCAAAATGAGTGTCGAAACCAGCGATTATATTCTTGTTAATATTCAACCAGAATTGGAGATAAAAGTCAATGCGGATAGAATTTTAAGTTGTTTTTGTCGGCCCGGCATTTTTCGCGGCGAAAACAACTAAAATATTTTGTTCCCTATACTATTCGCTGCGTCTGCCGCCGCGATTGCCGCCCGACTCCGTGGCTTGCACCGTACTGATTCATACATTTGTTTCATTCGCCCGCTGCGCCGCCAGTCGCCCACGCGATTCGCCCGGTAAATTTCGCCGGTCGCGTCGCCACTCGCCGCTACGCGTGGCATGGTCCGTACATTTCTATACATTTGTTTTAGTCCATAGAGGAAAGTAATATATCGTAGTGTTTTAGTCGCTAGACACCTCGCCGTTCGCGCCGCGCGAATTTTCGCTACGGCGAATGTCCCGTGGCCGGGCTGTTAGAGAGTTTTAGTATATTTACATTATATAATATTTGATCACGCATATTTGATAGCTTTAGGAAATAAAAGATTTGCACAAATTTGGATTGTAGTCAGAAGGATATTTTTCTCCATCATCATTAACATAATTTCATCAAAACTTAAAATTATAAAAATAATTTCAAAAAACTTATAACATAATTTACATTGAAATAATATACACTCTATTAAAAGCGTTTACTTACTACATTTAGTGTTTATTATTGAGCGTTAAGCTAATTTCTATTTAAGGTAGATAAAATTAAATGTCTGGCAGCACTAAATAGCATTCCGTAATCAGCCATCGGACCACAGTTCGGACTTCAGATCAGTCAGTGTAATTTTGACTGTACGCATGGTGTGACGTGCGAAGTCCAATGTACCACGCTATTCCCTGGCGCGTAATTTTTTTTTAAATATTGGTGACTGTATAATCGCTTAAATTAACAAAATCTCTTCAGGATTGTGAACAAAATAAGAACAACATGTCTGATAACGCACAGGATACACTAAAAGAAGCAGCAGCGACAGCCGTTGTTAGTGGGTCGCTATTCAGCACATTTGATATTATCATGCTTGTCCTTTTATTGGCAGCAACTGTGTGGTGGTTATACAGTTCCAGAAAAGAAAATAAAAAAGATGAAATTCTACTCAGCAAATATTCAATACAGTAAGTGTCCAAAGTAATCACCTTATTAAAAATGCAAATATAACATGTTGCCTTATTAGCTTAGCTGGTTAGGTTAGTTATGTTTTTGAAAAATAATGCTTTAATATTTCCTTTGATTCACTGCAATGATCTTAATTTATTTTAGTAATGTTCAATAGATTGTTCGGGCTTTATACGAAATTCGTAATTTATGTCGAAACTAAGCAAGCGGCAAGGCAACTACGTCATGATTTCATTAATTACTAGTTATTAAGTACCTATTAAAATTGCAATCGCGCGCGTTCAATATTTTATTTTTCTTTATATTATTATATACTTACTAAGGTTATATGTTAACAATTTATGTAATATTTCCGGAGTCCTTTCGTCGTAGAACACTAGACCTTCAAACTTATTTTATCTTTAATTCAATGTTACATCATACGTCTGACTACCTACTGTGTAATAGGCATTGCCTTGGTGTGTGGTGTGTACTGTCATAGTAACTATTTTTTTTATAATTAGTGTCTATGGAACTCCTCTGTGTAAAACCACAGAATAAATAATAGTATGTACTACGGTAGTGCCTAGACCACAAACTAATAAGAAGTGCTAGCCTAGCCTTGAAATAGGAGTAGAATTTTTTTGCATGTCAACATGTCAATGTTACCATACCAAGCGAAAAAAAAAAATTTAATTATAATTTTTGTACAGACTGCAAAATAATAGTCATGATTAGAGAGATTTTATAAAAAATTCCCATAATGAAGACAGGTAACATGTGTAATTAGATGAGGCAGTAATTTTTAATTTCTTTATAGGTTACTAATTTGCGAGCAATAGAAAATCAGATTCTTTTAATTAGATTGCATTTGTTAATGTTATGCATACTTTTCATAATATTTAAATGTCTGCCATGCCGTTCGGAGAGAAAAATTGTTATTTGAACAAGGCTACACATATGAAACAGGTTTCAGAAATTATAATGGGGTCGTACCTCAGACCAACAAAAAAAGATAGACAGAGACCTCATACATTTCAAGTGGCGCCGAAAGTCGAACGCTCGAAACCATGCGCAACTTCTTGACTTTACCTGTATGGTGAAGTCTTTTTTCTTCCTTTCTTTAACAGCCTACAAAATGAAAGTACTTTGCTGGACACATTAAACCATGTTGCTGGTTACGAACTTGCGAATGATTTTAGATGTTTTTACATTAGGCTAAGCATGGTTTCGTCTTGGTTTGGGTATTGCATAAAATGTACGTAGTATTTTATCATCTTTATAAAGTCTTTGTAGGCATTTTTTAACTTATTATAATCCAGCTCTTTTTAACATAGTTGCCACGTTTGGCAACCGGGTTGGCAACTGCGGTCTTTTTTTTAATTTTAAGATGCTGCTGCCCACCTCTTGATTCATTTTCCCTCTGTCGCCTCTTACGACACCTACGAGACGACATGTCGCTAGTTGAACGTGAATCGTGTAGTACCCCATGGGGTAGTGGATATTTTTACACCGGCACTACACGATTCACGTTACGGTTAAGCACAGAGATTAGCACTCTTCAACACGCTATACACTGTGCCTCATAATGTAAAGAATTAAATAATTCATATAAAGGCTGCAGGAAATTGGAATGTTCAACATAAATTAATTATACGGTTGTAGACAAAGGAAAGGGTTAAGTCGAGTGATTTGCTTGCAATCAGCATTAATAAATTAAAATTATTGCACTTTGTTTAAGGTCTGTTAAAGTTGATCTTTATGTAGTGTTTTACTGGCGTATTTAATTATGATTTAAATAGTCATTAGTTATGTTATTTTATTTATAATTTTATGGAATAAATTAAAAAAACTGACGTTATAATATTATATTAAATTACTACTAAAGTAATCTTGTGGACAGGAACACATTAATTCTTTAAGGGCGTTATTCATCACCTCATATTCATTTGGATTTCAAAATTTCTCCTATGGGGAATCCTATCCCATTATATTTTTTATATTTTGCTATGGGGAAATACGAGTGATTTAAAAACTGTTTATGTATTGTAGAAAAGGGCCATAAGTAGGTTTGTAACCTTACATATATAACCATGCATAATTAACCTTGGTGCACGGATTTGCGAGAAAATTGCTGAAACTGAAATTAAGAAAATGCGGGACGTGGCTAAAAAAAGGCAGGACAAAGCTATAAAGGTATATAATGGCGAATAATAGAAACAGGGTATAAGATCTTAATTGTAACTATTTAAATGACACTAGTTACCTTGCCTGAAGTTTGTAATATTTCACCCAAAAGGACAAAAATAAGCTTTTATACTCCAACAAATGTATGAAATACCTTTTGACATCTGTCACATTTATTGGACTACGCATTCCAACAGAAAAATCAGTACATAAAATATTCGACTTTATAGAAAAATCGATATCGATTGTTTGTGTTTGTTGATTTTTTAGAGTTGATCATTTACAGTTCTATCTAAATTAATACCAGAATAAAATTAGAAACAGATAACTCAAAACACATAATGAATAAGCTTCTTCATATTTATTGCTCACTGCTAATTGCTAGAGATAAAGTTATATAAATCAAAGCCCGCACTGAATTAAATTTGCATCGTGCAAAGCTGCTCATAGAACCTCTTAATCTCATTCAAAATCTTAGGTGTTCCGGAAACGTTACTGCCACACTCGGTCTTCAGCTTCGACAGTTGGCACTTTCTGGCGGACAGATCTCTGACAATAGCTTTGGAGCCCTTGTTCTGCTCGATAACTTCTTCAACACGAGCTTTAGTGTAGTTGTGTAATACAGAGCTTGCATAATTTGGAAATTAAACTATACTTAGAGCAATAAAATCGCACACCTCTGGTAATTTGGTTTATTACTGACTTTTTTTTCTTAAATCTAAAGATATTGAGTACCTACAAATCATCAGACAAAATTAAAGCATACAAGCTTAGCTTTACACAAATACACAAAATTAAAATCATTGACCTTCACGTAACTTACGAAACTTACGAAAACCTCACGGAACTTATGAAAACCAACCGTACACCAAATTCCCCAAACTTTCATTCACTCGTTTGCGTTGTCACTTCTTGCACCCTAATTGAACACAGTTGAACTGACTTGAGAAGTTCGCAATGTCAGTATAAGTTTGCCAGGGAACACTTAAATTGGACATATGAACAATGGTTTGTTATGTTCTTTGATGAGTGTAGAATGATTTTACATGGTCATGATGGACGGACGAGGGTTTACAGAAGGTCATCAGAGTGATTTTCACAATGGTGCATAAGCGAACGTGTGGCTTTTGAAAGTGGATCCTGTATTTTTGGGGTGTCATAATGTTGGCGCGAAAACTGACATTGTATTCATCACTGGGGAGAATACCGGGCTGTGATAAGTCTTCTGGATAAAGAAAAAAGAAGATTATCCAATGCTGGCAAAGGAAGCAATAAAATTATTAGCGCTATTCACCATTTCCTACCTATGTGAACTAACGTTCTCTTTAATGGTAAATGTAAAAACTAAGCAGAGAAATAGACTGCAATTAGAAAATGATTTGATTATTTACGTCTCAAATATACAGCCCCAATCAGACAAAATAATAAAAAAGAAAAAGCACAGCCTTCTCAATAAAATTATTTTGAAAAAAAAAGTTGATTTTTATTGTTGTGTCTGCTTTTTACCTTTTCCCGGCTTGCGATCTCGACCCACCAAGTATGACTAGGTGACCTCCCTTGGGGTCGCGACCCACAGGTTGGAAAACACTGGTCTATAACAATTTCCTTTGTTTTTCGATCATTTTGGCCCTGTCATCCCTTGTGTAGTACAGTTAAAACCGTTTACGACGACATTGTTTAAAACAACATAGGTACCGCTTATATTGATCAAAATCATAGGTTCCGGCTGAATGCTATATAATCGCCATATAAAAACAGTGCTTATTACGACATATCTGATCAACCTACTTTATTTAACTAATATTTTCAGAGATTTGTATCTGTTAAAACGACGACTGTTTAAACAATTTGAATAGGTAACAGTATCCATATTTGGCACAGTATAATGGTCAACGGCTATAAAGATGGCAAAAGTAACGAAAAATGTGTCGAGAGTAGGGTCTTTAGGTCTAAGTCTTAGGTCTCAGAAATTAAATATACGTGCAAGCAGTATAATAAAAATTCGGTTTCTCATATATATTCAGTATTAAGTCAGTTTGTTACTTATATGTTCACAAGACGCACTAAAGCATATTGTTGAGTTAATTGTGAAACTTTTAACATGTTATAATGAAAAAGAAAAATTCAATATCGAACAAAAATCGCGTATTATAGCAAAGTTAGAGACCGGAATTCCAAACAACGACATGGAAAAGCGATATGGTGTATCACAGTCTACAATTTCAACCATTTGGAAAGAGAGCGAAAAAATTCAAACACTTTTTGACGGCAAGTTTCTAAAAATGAAACGAGTAAGAACAACGAAGCATAGGAAGATTGAAGAAGCTTTGTTAAAATGTTAAACCGCTTATAAAAGGAAGAATAATGTGCCAATAAATTGACCAATTTTTCGACAAAATAAAGCTCAGTGTTTTGGTGAAGATTTCGTTGATCGTCGTTCGGTACCTATAGTCGACGGGAAAATGAGTGGTGAAGCTGTCAGTATTGATAATTTTATATGTACCTAAACGAACCTAAAAAAAATTACTTAGTATTTGTACTTTAAAAATATCACTGGTATAAAATTACTTTGTATTGTTACCTCAAAAATATCACCGGTTGTTACGACTACCGATTTTTACGAACAAATGTGAGTAGTCCCTTCAATGTCGTTATAACTTATAACAGATTTTGACTGTAATTGTATTTTCTACAAATACTCCTCCGACTGGGGTTGCCAGGTCTTAAGACCGAAATGTCGGACAGATCAGAAAGCTTAGCCGGACATTTTGGTATTAAGGCCGAACAACCTTAATTTTTTAGTATTAGTAAAACATCTTGTTTTAAAGTAAAA